CCCACAGACTGCCAAAAGAACAAACAGGTATGTTGTAGAAGAGGCACAGCCAGGGTGTTCCTTGGAAACAAAGATGGTGAAACTTAGTCTCACATACTTTGGGCATGTTGCCAGGAAAGGTTATTCCTTGGAGAGAGACACCATGCTTGGAAAGGTGAAGGGATGGTGAAGGAGAGGAAGACTGTCAACCAGGTGGATTGCAACTAGTGACTGCAGCAATGGGCTCGAGTGTGTCAGAGATGGTGAGGGTGACACAGGATAGGACAGTGTTCAGATCGGTTGTTCACATAGTTACCATGAGTCATACATGATTCGAAAGCACCTAAAAACAATGAGAACCCCTCCATTTCAGCTTAACATGCTGTTGTCTTTCTTAAAAAAACTTAAAAAGTCACAAATTTAATTCTGACCAATACTGACAGAGCTGGAAAGACTTCTGTGGGGCTGAGTCAGAAGGAATATAGTAGGCATGTACTACCATTTAAAGAGAAATGGTTTCTTCACATGTCAGTAAACTCCAAGTTGCTTGTTCTGAACCAATTTTATCATCTGAGAAGAGCCTCAAGTAGTGAGTTTTTGCAACGTACTAAACACTAGTAAGTATTTTTCAGGTATTCATGATCTCATTTAGCACTGACAGACCCCGAGGTAGACATTGTTATTATTCCTTTTAACAAAAAAATTTAAGAAAGTTGGCCAGATCAAGTTACTGGGATGACAACTCGGATGGAAGGTCAGCACTCACTGTACCGCTACACTGCCTGCCTCGGGGTGAATACTGAGATAATCTTATTACTTTGGCCTGGGCTGGTACTCACCTCCTCCATCACCACTGTCAGAGAGGGCAAACTGCGGCATGGTTCTGGAATCTGAAGCCTAGCACATCTGAGCTCTCAGGAGCAGTTTCTCTAGTGAGGTGTCAACCTAGGCCTCTCTCTAGTCGGTATACCTAGAACATTCTAACTGCCTGGCAAGGTGGAGGTGGTCTCGTCCTCCTTAAGTTATGTGGCTTCCCTTTTCTTGGCCCCAGGTTCTGGCATAAGGACATTCTCTTTTCAAGCTGTCTTTGCCAGAAACAGAAAAATATTTTAACCTGATAATATAAAGGTAAGATTTATGTTTGTGTTCATGAAATCCTCAGGACCTAAAAGCGCTGAACATTTGGTTCTTACTGCAGCAGAGTGAGAACTGACTCTAGATGTCCTGCCAGCAGGCTTTCAGAGGTTATAAAATCACAAGGGAGGAGACGTCCATCTTTCTTCCTGAGTCACTGGTGGGTTTGAATTCCACACCTTTGGGTTGGCTGTGTAACTTTTTACCAACTAGGCCACCAGACCTCCCTTAACATGCTAGCAGACAGTGGCTAAATTAACCTAGCACATGAGGTACTGTTAAGTATTCATTCAGCAAGTCATTAATTGGACCACAAAAATTTGAAATATGTGTAAAAAACCCAAGTCAAATAAACATAAAAAAAAAGAGAAAAGGTGACCTGTGAAAAATACTGGCTTTTGTTTCCCCAAAGCAGGACCCATTCACACTAAAAAACCGGCTGTAAAATCCAAAGCAAGAAGAAGGAAGGAAGAAACTAGCTTTTAAAGAATTAGATGATGGGAGGTAGGGGAAGAAATAAGGCTTTCCAATTATTTAACTACCCCCACTGTCAAACAATTATTACCAAACACACGTTCAAACTGAGAAAAAGCAGTTTTAATAACACACACACATACATTCATATGACTTTAAACAGAGATAGTATAAAACCTTAAAAAAGAAAAGGGAATTGTGCACATTTCTGTGAGCTGCCTGCCTTGTTGCTGGTGGATCAACTGGCCAACAGGGCTGCCCAGGGAGACAAGCACACAGCTGAGGAGGTGCACCAATGCTGGCAACGAGTAAGCCGTAACAATCACAGATTCCGCGAACCGCTCCGCTGATGGAGCTGCCTGCGTCCAACAGACTCGAAGTCTCCCCCAGTTCTCCAACTTACTTGTGGGAATGGGTCACTTCTTTTTTTAAAATAATTCTTGATTTAAAAGACTTCACACTCTATTACTGGCCAGTCCCCACCAACTATCCTTGTATTGACAGAAATACAAATGTGAATATTCCAACTGAGCCTGATGACAACATACTATATTAATCTTGTACATCTGGGGAGATTTTTGTGAAGTCAAAAGCTACTTGCATTTCAAAATAAAGACAAAATGCCAACCTTCTGGAAGGTGACAAAGGCACCACTGCCATCAGGAGATAGAAAAAAATGTATAAATGTTGTTATAGCTATGTAGATGCAATCTGTCCACAGAGCATTGCTTCACATAACATGATAATAGTTAATATAGCTATATTTCTGGGTAACAATAAAAGCAGTCTAGAAAAGGCTAACAGTTACACACAAAAGCAAAAACACAGGTATCTTAATTTTCAGCTTGTAATAAGGAGAGTAAATTTGACGCACTTATCTAAAAAATTAGAGAGGGTGATTTTTGGCGCAGTAATACTACCACCTTCACCATCACTCAGTGCAAGGTTTGTTTGCCAAGTCTCAAGAGGCCTGACATTTTCTGTGCAATGAGTATTTGCTCCCTCACTATCAACCCATTGACTGGGCAACAGAAGCAAAAGGGAGACAAGGGGACTCAAGAAAGAGAAGGAAAACACTTGATTTTAGGGAAAATTTATGGATTCCTTACGCTAAAAGAGAATCAGAAAAATTTTAATGAGACTCTAAGTGTAAATACTGACTGGATTATGACCTGGAGATGGAAGATATCTACCAGGGTCACAAATGTAGGGTTCAAACAGATGTTTTGGTCAATTACCTTAAAGAAACAAATGAAATAACTTTCTCTAATGGAGAAAGTAAATGAAAAATAGATTATTTTTATTGGTACTATTAAATAAAAGTGTATCAAAGTGGTTTCAAATCTGATGGGCAGTTATCTACTGAAAATGCAATATAAAAGGGTCACTTAAAAACAAAACCAAACAAAAAAACACCTGAATAACCCATTTGTTGCCCACCCCGTCAATGTACACGATTAGAAAATATTTACAAGCAATATAAGCAATATTTTATACTTTGAATTTTGTACACTTTACACAATGCAAAATGAGAAAAATATGAACACTTGTAAAATTACACACAAATAATATATATACAAAGTATTAAATTACAGAGAATGAAAGCCCCTACTGTTGGGCAGATAGATGCCAGAGTTTCAAGCTCCTGTCATACACAACTCTTTGTATCTATCTCTAAATCCATAAGTGGCATTTTTTAACAATACCCTTGAGAGGTAGTATCAAGATAGTAATATTCTTATCAGTAAACTTAACACAGAACACAACTCTTGTTGGTCTGACTCCTGGAGCCTCATTCAGTCAAGGTTCTCTGAAACTGGATTTACTTGTCTTTTCTATAAAATCTCTCACCACCCAATGCTTGAAAAGGCTCCAAATTTATTGATATGATTTTTAATGATAAATTTAAGATGGAATGCTTTTTACTCCTTAGAATTAAGATATGGTGAATTATTTTCAAATTTTGTTTTCTCTTCTCTCAAATAATACATCAAGTCCAGTTCCCTTACTCTTTGCCATCTTTCTCCACAACTGGGGATGTGAGGAGTGCTCAGGAAAGCAGTGTCACCCAAGTAAAAAAAAAAATACACAAAAAAACAACCACAAAAAACACACACACACAAAAAACCAAACCCAAAACCAAAATCTACAAAGAAAAAGCAGACATTCTCTTTTAGGGAAAACACTTTTTGCTAAGACACTAATTAAAAAATAATTTCTCTGTTAGCTAGTAAGAAGACATCACTGTCAAGGGTTTTAAAGGGCTCTTGGGCTTCTAAGACCAGTCCATGTGTTTCTATTAACACTCTACCATTTAAACCAAACAATGGCTTTCCAGTGTTTACGAATCTGAGAGCAGCTGTGGTTTTCAAGTGCAACAATTTCAAAATGTAAGCACACGTGAGTACACGCATGCATGTATGTGCACTTTCATGCCTACACATACATACACACAGAGACAAAGACAGACACAGACACACACAGTTTCAAAGAATAAACACCATCCAGATCTCTGAAAAATTCATGTACTTATGGAAACAAAGTATTTGGAAACTTCCCCAAATCTTTAAGCTTTAACAATATAGATTTTTTATTTTAATATGGCTGAGTAAGAGCCAAACTGCTAAGAGTTTAGTAGAAGTCTAAGATTTAGTGAGCATTTAAAAGAAAAAGAGAAAGACAGGGAAAAAAAGCACCTAAAGAAATCCAAAACAAACTATGTAAATGTTTTGGCATAAAGGCAGAGCCATTAAATGATAGCTTTCCTGAAGGGAATCTGACAATATACCAAATTTATGCTACTCAAATTTTTAATTGAACTTTAGAAACCTAAATAGATCTGTAACCTTGAGTAGTGAAGGAAAACGCATGGCTTAAAATCCCTGTGGTTTTTAGACGATGTAGAACAGAATGATTTTTTGTTGTTGTTACTCAATTCAATTCTAAGGTTCCTCTTTCTAGCTCTAAAATAATGTAGAGAAAAAATTAAACTCAACCAGGAACTGGGTCTTGATTTCTACCTCCAACCCCTCAAATTGGTGCAAATCCCTTTCTCACATATTTCTTGAGATTATCCAAGTGCCATAAATACTATCCAAGAAAATAAAACTGCTTACAATTTAACAAGAAGAATTAATGGGGGCAGGCTAGATGAGCTGTTATACTCTGCTCCTCCTTTCAGAAAACTCTGTTCCTTTGAAAGGCAGTTTGCCTTAACAATTACGCAAACCAAATTTTCTATCTACTTCAGAAATGGCAATTTTGACATTACCAGTTTCACAGTAGATAGTCAAGTGTCACACTTGCAGTGTATTTTCTTAGCACTCCACTGTATTCTGTAGTAATCTTTTCTACCTCTTTAGGAAACGCTTTTGTTGACTTTCTCTTGGTTATCAGTGCTGATGTAACTCCTGTTAAGAATCTGGTACCCAAAAGTCATGAAGCTGCCCCTAGAAGAGAAAAACAAAGCAAAACAAACTAGAATGAGGCTAAAATGTAATCAGGTTACTAATTAATACTTAAAGAACTACCAATCATTAGACACTGGATTTGAATTAAGAAAGTCTGTATATTATAGATTTCTCTGCAAGTTTATGGTAATCAAATAGCAATAAGAAGCAAGTATAACCTAAGTACACAATGTTTCTCCCTCCCCTCCCGCTTCATCACATATACTTGAAAGGTCATGCTTAAGGAGATTAAAGAAAATGTTAAGCTGATTAATAAAAAGCTGTTTTATTAAATTATTTTCTGTTTTAACACATCAAAATGGGCCAGCCTACAATCTACTGGGACTAGAGCCAGAAACAAAGCACAAGATTTCACAAAAGTTTCTGTGTAAGAACAAGCATATCCTGTGAAGGAAAACAATCACCAGAGACTTAAATGTTATAAAATAGCGAGACTGCCTTCGCTACACCCTCGTTACTCAATGTATGGCCCCTGGACTAGCTTCACTGTCTTCACTCTGAGAACCTATGAGAAATGCCAAATAACTCAGGTCCTACCCTAGACTTACTGAATCAGAATTGCATTGTAACAAGTTCCTAGCTGATTCCTATGAGCCCTGGTGGTAGCAGTTCAAACTCACCAAACAAGTGGAGGAGAGAAAAGACTTTGCTATCTGCTCCAGTACAGAGTACAGCCTAGAAAACCTATGGGGCAGATCTACTCTGTTATATGGGGTCACTGTGAATTAGAATAGACTGTATAGCACTTAACAACACGTACATTACAATTTGAGAAGCATCATCTTAAAAAAGCCTTCATGAGTAAACAAGCAGGAGGGGATACTTAACAGCAGTTGTGAAAACATGTCCCTTAAGCAATGACTTTTTAGGCACGATAGCAAAAGCACAAAGGTTAAAGATTAGGTAAATTTTTTAAAACCCTTTGTGCTACATAGGATATACCATCCATATAGTGAAAAGACATCACAGAATATGAGAAAATGTTTGCATATCATCTAATAGGAGACTTCTATCTACAACATAGAGATAATTCTTATAATTCCATAATGCAATTTAGGGAATTGTCAATTAAAAATTACAATGAGATTACACCTCACACTTATAAGTGTGGCTACAATAAAAAAATACGTAGAAAAAATTCAAATGTCTACTATGTAATGAATGGATAAATAAAATCTGATTATCTACATGATGAAATATTAGCAATAAAAATGAAATACATGTATGTATATACCAGACATGACCCTTGAAAACATTATGCTCAATGAAAGAAGTTAGTCACGAAAGTATTTATATGAAATGTCTAGTAAATAAATCCATAGAGATGGAAAGTAGATTAATGTCTTTCAAGGACTGGAAGTGGATAATGAATAGTGGCTACCAATGGGTACAAAGCTTCTTTAAGGGGTGACAGAAATGTATTAAAGTTACATGGCAAAATATATGTGACTATACCATTTATATATCTACATGGGTGAAATATGTAAGATACAAACTTTATCTCAAAAAACTGTTAAATTTTCCTCTTGAAATATCCAATTGTTCCAATGTAACATTTTAAGTAGATGTTACAATTATCTCCAGAAAGAAATTAAAACAAAGTAAACAAAAGCTAAAAATCACACAAATCATGTATTACACTGGATTTTTCAGTTTGCTGCTATTTTAATGTCAAACAGTATGGAGTATCCTTTAGCAAAATAAGAATAAAGGAAAATTCTTAATAAAATGACACCTGAGTAGGTTGGCAGTTCTGGATGATTTCTTGCCATTTCCCATGTATCCTGGCAACCAAATCTTTCACCTTAAAAATATCAAGAGGAAAAAGGATCAAATCAAAACATCCTCACCTAAAATCAACTCAATGCTTGTTAACAACGATTTGATAGCTGTGACAAGACCACATATAACAATTAAAAATAATTCTGTCAAGAAAAATCCTTCTTCTGGAGTGGATTTCAAATGACAATAATTAATAAAACTTCCTGCAATCACCATAATTGAAAATACCAAATGCTAGGGACTGCATTTTTTTAGTTATAGGAGTCACATAGAAAAGCATATCCTTTGCCTTTAAGGAATTTGAATTTTCAACTTGAACCCTTGGAATTTCAGAACACAGAAGGGACAGAGAAATCACCGAGAAGACTGTGGAAGAAGTACTGGACAGAGAAGTTGAAGAGTGGTTTGGTTTGTGTTATATGTCCTAAGACTGTGATTGTTCCCTTCGTCCAATTGAAAGATCCAAGGTCACAAAATAAAATGCTTGTCATTTGTACCTTTTCCATTTTACTGTTATTACTTTCTGTGTTTATACAAGGTATATATAACGTCTTTAAATATTTGGGATATTCCTGTATTTGGAGGCTTACTAAGTTTCAGTGCAAAACTCAAAACTCTTGGTAAAAACTCAAAGATTTTCAACATAGCTCTTGAACAAAACCACTTGGGAAAAAATGTTTTAAACAAGTTAGAAATTTTATAACCCCTTTAAGTTTATAAAGAGAAATGCAAGCTCTGCTTTCTTTCCTTCATCTAGAGTTCAGGAGATTAAGTTTTCTCCAAAACAATTGCTACCTCTTCTTCTAGAGGCTTTTGGAGAGGCACAGAAATCCTCCATTTCAGCAAGACTCTTTCTTGAAGCAATTTGCATGGGCCACTGTGTCACTCTCCACTCTAAGTAACAGAAGCCCTGGCACCAAATGATGCCTGGGCCTGCCTTCAAGAAACAAAAAAACCTTGGGTGGTCCTCTTTTAGTATGTCTGTCAACAACAGCTACTACCACCAAGTTCTATGGGTCAGTAACCCTAGTCAATGTTCAAAACAATGTGCTTCTCAACTATAGTTTTCCACTCTGAGGCAAAGAGATATGTACTTTAGAACCTGAAATTTGATAACTGATTTTTGTACTGAACTTAAATTTACTAAAATGCAGATACTGAATCAAAAGAAGCATTGTTCACATGACTAGACTTTACCAGCTAATTAATATAAAATATAAAGTTACAAAGCTGAGACTTCATATTCAATGACTACATAAACACAAAAGGGGGGGGAAGAGAAGAGTTTTATATTACAAGAGCTAGAAATTATTGGTGAGTAAAAAAATTTTCAGAAGAACAAGTGTTAAAAAAGTTGGTGTTTGATTTTACGGTTTGTCATTTTATTAACATAGAACTTCTTTCTACTACACACAGCTTCTCCACTGCCCTTGAAAAGCACGGAAATTTTAAGAAAAAAGCTCATAGCAAACTTCTTCTAAATTATTTCTGTCCTACAGCTCAGTATGAGTGATTCAGTGCCCAGAAATTTAAAGAGTCCTTTCTTTAACACATTTTCTAGTGGAATAATCAAAGATAAACAGCTAACCTATTCTTTCCCCCACTTTATGAGCAAAAGTGCACTGCTTTATAATTTATTTAAAGAATGCTTTAATCTTTGAAGCTAACGTAAGCATAAAGGTATTAATTTGTACAATGGGAAAATACTATCAAGGTTCACTTGGACTGGAAAAATTCTTTTTTCCCATAGGAGTCACAAATTTAAGAATAGCACGTATGGTAAAATGAAAAACATATTTGCTTTTGATTTTTCTTTTCTTTTTCAATCTAGCTAGAAGATGATTTCCATTATTAAGGAAACTCATATATCTAAATTCACATGGCTTTTCCTTTTTTAAAAAAGTTTTATATGCTTCTCTTTAAATATAACAAAAAGTCCTAACACTACATAAGAAAAAAAGGCACTTACCTTAGTTCTATAAAAACGTTTTGGGTCTTCTCTAATATCACACTTAACATGCTTTTCCAAAGCACCACAAAGGCGAACTAAGTGTTTCTGTGAAAATAAATACAAGGATGAAAACCACTCTGAAGCATTAACAATGAACAAATTATATCCAGTAAGAAGAGCTGACAATCATTTAAAAATCTATCATTTCCCAGTTGGCCATTTATGATGTTAATTATCCACCATTTTGTTGCTATTGTTAGGTGCCAACAAGTCGAGTATGTCCTACGGATAATAGATCTGAGCCTTGTCCTATCCTGTATCATCCTCTGACACATTTGAGCTTACTGTAGCAGTCACTGTGTCAACCCATTTTGGTTGAGAGTCTTCCTCTTTTTCACCAATACTTCACCTTGCTAAGTATGATGTTTCACTCCAAGAAACAGTCTTTCTTAACAACATATCCAAAGTATGAGAGATAAAGCTTTGTTATCTTTGTCTCCAGGGATCATTCTGACTGTACTTTCTCCAAGACATATACACATATATACAATAGACAACAAATATCTATTTGTTCTTTTGGGAGTCCATGGGATATTCCCTGCTCTTCTCCAACACCACAGCCCAAAGGCATCAATTCTTCTGTCACCCTTATTTCCTGTCCAGCTCTCAGATGCATAGCAAGTGATCAGTCCTTAGTCCTCAAACTAACACTGTTGCTCCTCAGTAATTTGGAGAAGTAACCTGACTGCAGACTTAAATCAGTGAAATAACTAATGAGACAGAGAAAGTATTCATTAAAAAATAAAAGATGGAACATTAATGAATATTAACTCTGTAAATCAGATTGAGTAATAGTTTTTTTAAGAGGGCAATGCAATATCTATAAATCTGAAAGGTCGTTCTTTGACACATGCCAGTGGAATATTAAAATAGCTAACTTATTTTTGTTTGTGAATACATTTTTATTAATAGGTGCTCCTTTTGTTGTTATTTGCCGTTGAGTCAACTATCACTCAGCGACCCTATGAACGATGACTCTGACCGAACCTTTCCCTATCCTAAGCCTGCCTCACCATCTCCAACACACTTGACTCCACTGCCACAGGCACTTTGTCAATCCGTCTCATCTAGGGCCTTCCTCTCTAACCTTCTACCCTTTCACTCTTCCAAGTGTGATGTCATTCTCTAAAAACTGGCCCCTCCTGACAACATGCCCAAAGTATGTGAGATGGAGTTTCAAAACCCTTGCCTCCAGGTAGCAACCTAGACTCACCCTCTCCAGTACAGACCTGTTTGTTCTCTTGACAGTCCATAATATATTCAATAGTCTTTTCCAGCATCACTACTCAAAGACATCGATTCTTTTTAGGTATCCTTAGTCATTGCCCAGCTGCACAGCAAGTAGCTACAAAGACCATGGCTTGCCTTAGGTACACATTAGTCTTTAGACTGCCATTGTTGGTCTTTTGCCCTTTGGAGAGGTCCTTGACGGCAGATTTTCCCAATACAGCTTGTGTTTTTATTTTTTAACTGCTGGTGCCAAGGATGTTAATGGTGCATCCATGTAAGAAGAAATCATTAGTAACTTCAATCTTCTCTCCATCTATCACAATGATGCCTATTGGCCTGGTGGTGAGGATTTTTGTTTTCTTAATGTTGAGATGCAATCCATATTGAAGGCAGTCCTTGTCCTTTTGCAAAGTGTTTTCAGTCCTCTTCAGCTTAAGCAAGCAAGGTTGTATCAGTTACATAACGCAAGCTGTTGCTGAGTCTTCCACCAATCTGTTCAGTACACACACACACAAGGTATGGAGAAAGAATACATCTCTGATGCACTCCTTTTTTGATTTTGAACCATTCAGTGTTCCTTTGCTCTGTTTGGACAACAGCTTCTTGGTCTAGGTAAAGGTTTTGCATGAAACAATCAAGTGTTCTGGAATCCCCATTCTTCTCAGTGTTAGCCACAATTTGTTGTGATCCACATAGTCAAACTGCCTTGGGAACTCCTTAAAACTTAAATGTCTATTTTACAGCTATACAGTCCAACAGTTACTCTAACACACATATAGTTACATCATGCATAGTTGGAGAGAATGTATACTCTTGAGGAGGAAAATACAGTAACACCTCTCTGAAATATTTATACCTTTGACCTAGAAATCTAGAATTCCTTAGGAATTTAACTTTTAGAGATGCTTGTACAAGTGGGCAGAGATACATGGGTATACATGTTTATATAATATCAAAAAAAGCAATGCTCACCAATACAGGTTTTAACTGCTACTGTTATTATAAACCAATTAGAAGTGATAATATCTTAAAGTAAAAGAAAGATAAAAAAGAGGCAAGTTAAAAAAAAATTAAAAAGTAGTGACTAACTATATACAAACATTATAAATAGATGACTACACTTGGGTCCAATCAGGAGAGTTAACATAAAAAGCACAGGGACCAGTTTTGCCCTCTATTCATGCCTGGGAGGTAATCGTAAAATAGAGCTGGATAAGCTCAGATCTGAAACAAGAAAAATAAACAAGAACTTTCTCCAGGAGAATAGATCATGGCAGTATAGACAGAATATTTCAAAATCAAAATCTTTGTACGGTGAAGTAAGGCAATTTTGAGATGCACTTCTGAAGTTGCCTCACCATCAGTTTAATTTTAAAGGAAAATGTCATATATGGCTGGCTGTAAGGTTACTACTACCCCCCTATTTTTAGTGAACACAGGAAATCTATGGCAAATTAAAAGATACAATTTTTAAAGTTTTTTCTCTACAGTGAATTTTCACTCATTTCATCAAAATAATGATGCCTACTTAAAAAAGGGGAAAATTAAGAAAAATTACCTACCCGTTGTCCTGAAGAAAAAGAATGAGAGCAACTAACTTCACCAACTAAATGAAGTAGAACGTAGGTCAGATAATAGGCCTGTTAGAAAAATGAATAGAATTACTTCCAAATTTAGGAGTAACCTTAAAAAGGGGACCAAAGAGCATTACAAAAGAAGTCACAGGAAATGCTTTACAACTAACATAGATGTCATTCCTGATTCATGAGTTAGGCAAGTCTGTCCAGGAAGGAGAAGAAATTTACTACAGTTAATTTAGCTGTTAATAATAATAGTCAACCATTTAATCTAGGATTTCTGATTTCTCTTTCAAACACATTTATTTTACACCTCATTACTGCTCTATTGTTGTTGTGTATCACTGAGTTGGAACTGACTCACAGTTGACCTTCCAGTGGGTTTTCAGAAATAACAAATCACATGGGAGGAGATGCCCACCCACCTCCCTGAGAGCAGCTAGTGGATTTGAACCACATGCTTTCAGGACTGCAGCACAACTTCTTACCACAAGGCTATCCAGAGCTCCCTATAACTGTCCTATTATTGTTGTGGACTGTCAAGTTGGAACCAACCCATAGCTGACCCTTCCGCTGTTCATTATAGGTAACTGGAGGCAGGTAATCGCACAGGAGATTTCCCATCCTCTCACAGAGCAACTGGTGCATTCATTTCAGGCTTGTAGTGCAGCTTCTTGCCACTAGGCCTCCAGTGTTCCTATGGTCCTAGGACTATAATAGTTCCAGAATTAAACCAGGAGCTTTGGTGGAATAGTCTGTAAGAGCTGTACTGCTAATCCAAAGGTGGCACCTCTCTGATGGTTAGAGTCCCTAGTTGCTCTTGTGGGAGGAATACTGGGCATTTTCTACCATGTGCTTTAGAGTCTTGGAAAATGCTCTAGAGGGCCAGCTATGGGGCAGTTACAATTTGATGGCAGTGAGTCTGAGTTCTTTTTGTTTTAGTATTAAATAACAATGAGCCTTTACCTAAATTCTCAACTCTTAACAAATTTCATGTCAATAAAGATATTAAAAAAAACCAACCACCATTCAATTTAAAATCTTTGATTATGAGGATGTAGTCTCTAAATCAGAAAATCCTATATATAGAGTAAGAAAGGTAACATTACTTATGCATATGTGCACTTTTTGACACTTTATAGCCTTGATACCTGCTTTTCCAGTTCTAAATGAAGACTCTCATCAATAGTGCCATTGGGTTGTTCAGCTCTTTTCTTGGATACCATTTTCTTCAGCAAATGAGAAGGCTTCATTTGCACTAGATAGTGATGGAGAATTGAGATCTATTAAAACAAAGAGACAGTGAGAAACATTAACCAGTGTAGTTACACCTTCTTAGGTGAGTTATTTCAGCATCCTCTTTTAGTATGATTTTCCCTAATTCTGGCTCCCTTTTGGAAAAGTAGCTTGTCAAATGAGGAGTGGAAAAACCTAAATGAGATGGATGGACAGATTGTAACAACAGACTCAGGCACAGCAGAAATTTTAAGGATGGCACAGGATTGGGCACACACTTGTTCTGTTGAAGCTGGTGTTGTTATGAGTCAGAGCTGACTTACTTAATGGTACAGAGTTAACAGTCCTGGTCTTTTAGATTTTCTATAGTTGAGGATACATCATTACAACTGCTTAAAAGGGATTTTAAATTAAAGAGGGTAAAAGAAAAATGCTTAAGGAGATCATCAAATGGCATTACAAAAGAGGTTACAGAAAACTTATTTTAACTAAATTATTAAATTCAGGCAAGTTGAATCTCCTTGCATGGTCAAAGTCACTGAATACTGAACAAAAGGTTGGGGGAGGGGGAGGAATCACAAGTTAGTATGTAGTCTGAATATCAATTACTGAGTTTGAGGGTTATTAATGTAATTCTATTCTACATGGACCAAAAAAAAAAAAAAGACAAAAAATAATTAGGAAGCATAAAATTCTATCCCTGGATCTCTTCTTTTCCTCCCTCCTTGGTTCTTTATCTTTCTCCATAACACCTTGTGCTTACGTCTATCACAATAAATCTTACTATACTTACCAGAATGGTTGGCTTATTTTTTTTAACCAGTATTTATATTTAATTCATGTCTGTACCCCTAGTGCTTAGCAGAATACCTTATACTGAATTGCAAGTGAAAGAAGGACAAATGAATACTCAGAGCAGGTTTTATCATGAATTTTCAAATCCAATTAAGGTGAACTTCCTAAGTACTGTTAATGTTTGTGAAAAAGCTTTCACAGATAAACTCATACATACATGACAGATTCATTACTAAACAAGTACTGAAGGATAACACTTAAGCTCCAAGAGTTAGATAATTTTTAATATTAGATAGATATAAGATATAATTAATATTACAGGTCTATAATTCCTAATTCTATAATTAACTGCTAAATTTTATTAATTAGACCAATTCAGTAAATAATGTCACCTTATAACAGTGCAATGATTTCTCCCAAGCAGTTACTGCATTTTAATTCATTTGGTTGTCCACAATCATCTTTTGTGGCAGGGGGTGTGATAAACTCTCCATTTCAGAAATGAAGAAATTCTCATTACTTAAGGGCCATACTGAAGATTGTATGAATTATACTTACTATCATACTTTAGAGTTGAGACTGAACCCTAGGACATTTGCTTTTAGGGCTCATCAATTTTATCTACACTTAACTATCTTTACATATTAAAAGAAAACAAAAATATATTTGTACCTGCAGATTATTGATATTAGGGACATCTTCATGCTTCTCATCCAAAAGTTTTGAAATAATCACTAGACTGAGGTACTGTCTCAGTTGTCTGGAATTAGAATTGAAAAGTATTCAAAATGTATTTTAATCAACACTACCAAGAGTTCTTCTAATGCCTCTAATTGGAAACACAGCTGATGCTTTGAGATGAGATGGCTACACAAAAATGTACAAGCTTTAAGAGAAAAGAAAAAAAACTCCATGTGCAATAATTGTACATAAAATTAGGAAGTGTTGCCTGAAAATCAGACAAATCATTATGAGCTTTTATCAATGTCTTTCCTTACAGCTGAGTATGAAAAAGGACTCGAACTTAACATTCAAATAATGACTGAAAAGGTCCCCAAAGCACTTTATTAAAGTAGATACTATAAAATTTCTTAATGTTTAGTTCTCACTTTTCAATACCTTCCACGTGATGTCCAGTTAGGAACTAGCTGTACCAACCACAGGAGGTTGTGAGGATGACTGGTGAGTTCATTTATGGCTAGACAGAGTTCAGGCACCTGAAAACAAAGAACAATAGGTCAGTGGTACCAAACATTTGGCAAATTACCCACATCTCTTCATATACTCCTATTTAAAAAAAAAGAGATTTCTTCTTTTAAGTAGCATGAAGTCTAGAACCTGCTGATATGAACATAATGTATATGGATGCAGTTTTATAAGTTAAATTCATCAACATTTCATCTAGTTTTCATGATTTATGTTATAACTGTATACACTTAAATTGTTCCTCTTAAAAGGGTAAAGTGATATAAATACGAACATCATTCCTAATCTGTATAATGAGAGTTATATCAGCAGTGAAAACTAGGCCAGGTGCTGATTAAGGAACGGAACATCAAATACTTATATTCAAGTTCAAATTAAGGCTAAAGAAAGTAAAATTATATATACAGAAATAAAAATTTAACCTTGGGTATATCCCACCTGAATTTAAAAACCAACTCAGGAACAGTTTTGATGCCCTGAACACTAATGAACAAAGACCAGATAAGCTTTGGGAAGATATCAAGAATATCACCCATCAAGAATGGAAAAGGTCATTACAAAGATGGAGAAAGATGACCAAAACAGACGTCATAAGAGACTCTGAATATTACACGAGAGCACTGAGAAGCTAAAGCAAAGGGAAGAAATAAAAAAGGAGCCCAACAGAAGATTTCAAAGGGCAGCTTGGGAAGATAAAGCAAAGTATTATAATGAAATGTGCAAGGAGCTGGAGTCTGAAAATCAAAAGGGCCAAATTTGCTCAGCATTTCTTAAGCTGAACGAACTAACAAATTCAAGCCATGAGTTGCAAAACTTAAGGATGCTACGGGCAGAATATTGAATGATCCAGAAAGCATTAAAAGATGGAAGGAGTACAGAAACAACATATGGTCAATTCAGACTGCTCTGAAGGACTTGGCAAAAAATAAATCCCCAGGACTTGATGGCATACCATTTGATATATTTCAACAAACAGATGCTGCCCTGGATGTGGTTTTGCCAAGTTGTGCCAAGAAAACTGGAGGACAACTACCTGGCCAAATGACTGAAAGAGATCCATATTTATTCTCATTCAAATAAAAGGTGACCTGACAGAGTGTGGAAATTATCAAACATTATCACTAATATCACACACAAGCAAAATTCTGAAGATTATCCAAAAATGAATGGAACAGTACACTGACAGATAACTACCAAAAATACAAGTTAGAGGTTGTACAAGAAGAGGTTGTAGTGCTAGACATCGCCAATGTCAGATGGATCTTGGCAGAAAACAAAGAGCACCAGAGGGATATCTATCTGTGTTTCATTGATTATGCAAAGGCATTTGACTGTGTGGATCACACCAAACTGTGGCTAACTAACCTTAAGGAGAATGGGTATCTCAGAACATTTGATTGTGCTTATGCAAAACCTGTACTTGAACCAGGAAAAAGTCCTCAGAACAAGAAAACACTGCATGGTTCAAAATAAGTAAAATGTGTCAGGGATGCATCCTATCTATATGTAGAATGTATCACTCAGGAGGCTGGGCTTTATGAGGATAAATGTGGCATCAGGATTGGAGAAGACTCATCAACAATCTACATTATGCAAACAAAACCACCTTGCTTGCTGAAACTGAGGATCTGTGGCGCTTGCTGTAGAAAGTCAAGGAGTAGGGAACTATGGTGGCCTAGTGGCAAGAAGTTGCACTGAAATCCCAGAGGTACGTGGTTTGAATCCACCAGATGCTCTGCTGGAGAAGGAGGGGCAATCTCCTCCTGTAACACTCAGATCCAATTTGACAGTACACACACACAAAAATAATAAAAATTTAAAAAAGAATGTTTTAAAATTTTTTTTTTTTTAAAAAAAGAAAGTCAAGTTGTCTTCAACATGGCTTGAACCTCAACTTCAAGAAGACAAAGAATCTCACCACTGGGTCAAATAGCAGCACCATGATAGATGGGGAAAGACATTGAGGTTGTTAGCAATTACAACTTGCTCAGCTCCTTACCACTTTTGGCACCAGCAATCCGGAAATCAAGAGCCAAATTACATGGGGGAAATCTGCTGTCAGGGACCTCTCCAAAGTACTAAGAAGCAATGATGTCGCTCTAGAGACTAAGGTGTGCCTGGTCCAGGCCAAAATCTTTGCAATTACTATCCATCAGTGGGGTGGACAATGCCTAAGGATGACAGAAGAACTGATGCCTTTGAGATGCAGTGCTGGAGAAAAGTCTTGAACATAACCATGGATCACCAAGAAAACAAATAGGTTAGTCTTGGAGAGGGTAAAACAAAGCTCTTCCTTCGAGGCTAGGATTTTAAAACTCAGTCTCACATACTTTGGGCACATGGCCAGGAGGGATTGGTCCTTGGAGAGGGACATCATGTTCAGAAGGGTGGAGGGACAGCGCAGGCAAGGAAGACTGCAGGCAAGGAAGACCCCACACAAGATGGACTGATATAGAAACTGGGGCAATGGGGGTAGGTGTGTTGGAGTCAGTGAGACTGGCTCAGGACAGGGCAGGTTTCAGAGGTGTTGTACACAGGGTCGCTATGAGTTGCGGGTGACTTGATGGCATATGATAACAACAACAACAACAAGAGAGTTACACAAGATCATGTATGTTTATCACCTGGGGTGTCTTGCACTTTAAGGATTTCTCACACATTAGCATCAAAACCACAAAACCAAACAGCTTTGCTTAAAAATAATCCAGAAGGTTTCAGTGTGGTATACCAGGCAACAGATAAATGAAGACACACATACTGATGCTACGTGTTGGGTACTTTGAGGTTCATTATGCTCTTCTCTCTACTTTTGTATACATTTGAAATTATCCACCAAAAAGGCTGAAAGGAAGCCTAAAAATATGTTTAGTCCAGATAAAGCAACAGAAGTTCAATTCAAATTTTTGTTATGTGTATAATTTAGTCCATCACTTAGGTTTCTGCTGAAATGTAACTTCAGAAGAGTATTCTGTCTGCCTCATCAGAAATTGTGTAGTATCTGTTCTACAGTTCTCTATACTCTGTTCTGTCCATTTATTTTTTGCAGAGCACTTGTATTACATTAAGCATTTACTTGCTTGTTACCTAATCCTGACCAGGGGAATGTAATCCCCATGTGGGTGAAGATCATGCCTTTTTTTACAACCGTGTCTCTAGCACACTTAATGCTTAGCACACTGTATCTTCAAGAAACAAATTTTTTGATAAATGTATAGCTGCAGTTTTGCAAATTCAGCTATAAATTTAAAAAACACAGTTCCACTAAACTAGAGTTCTTTTCTCTGTCTGTTGTTCACCTGCCAAAGATTTCTTTTACCTGAGTTTTGTTGTTGTGTTCTGTCAAGTTAGAACTGACCCACCGCTGACCGCTGAGTGGGTTTTCAAAGGAAGTAAACTGCTTATGAGATTTTCCCTCCTTCTACCATAAAGCAGCTGATGGATCTGAACTACATACCTTTGAGTTAGTAGTGCAATTTCTTACCACAAAGCCACCAGAGCAATCTTTACCTGAGTTTAGAAACTGTATTCTCTATGCACTAAATGAAGTAAAATTTGATGTTATATATATATAAAACCAATACTGAAGTTTGTTGGGTTTTTTTAAAATTTTTTTATTTTCAAAACTGAAGTTTTAAGTAATATTACCTTGGTGTTCCAATCTCTAATATTCTTCATCAGGTTTATCATGAGGCTTTGGAAGTCCACTAGAGGTATCTGTTTCAGCTGTTTTTCCAAACTCATTTTAAGCAACATTAAAATAAGCAACATCAGTTCACGATCTTGGTATCCTTCTGGATATATAGATGTACACAAGCCTAGAAACTTTAACACAAATACACAGACAAAACAATTTAGGGAAACACTGTATTTGAAGACTCTTAACTACAAAAGATGCCAAAGAACTATATAAAAAAACAAAGCACTTGATGTTCAGGGGAAAATCCCGAAACAATCATTAATAGATGGATTGCTTGAAAGGATGTGTATTTTTTACATTTAGAAACATTATCAAATCAAAATTTTTCAAGTACTAACAAGAAAATGAAATCCTTCCAATTTTGTGCCACAGACACAAAGACTTTGTCCTACCTTAACTACATTAAATATGTTGGTTTCAGGAAAAGTTGAAAAAATTGGCTTGTAAGATGATTCTTCAGTTCCTTTTCCCTCTGAAGTTATGTATGTTTCAGAACTACTGAAAAGTGAATAATGCAAGGTGAAGACAGGTACAATGTAATTTTGTATGTTAAGTACCAGCTAACTTTCAAGAAAACTTAATGAGGTATAATTTTCAGACTATAAAATAGACCTCTTTCAAATTTTAATAAATGTATATGCAATCCAAAACAAGAAATAAAATGTCTCCATCAATCTCAAAAGTTCCTTTATTCCAGATGCAAATTAGTTCCCTATCCTAGGCAGTGATTTGATTTCTGCCCTTATTCATCTGTTTTCCTCTGAATAACTACTTTTTATAAGGCACTATTCTTGCTGCTCTTGGTGTTGGAAAAACCATATAGATGGAGATTCTGACAAAAAGAACCATCTGACTACAGGGCTCATGCGATAACAACACAAAGAACTAATTCGAAACACCTCAATTCCAGTTGAAGTATTAAGTGAACGTTCATGGAAAGGAACACACATGACTTGACCTTTCTTTAGTAAATAAATGATACTGTCTTAATTTTTTGCATAATATACTCATGGTAAAAAAAAATCTATTACAGGTTATCAAGAGGTATATATTTTTTTTATCAAGAGGTATATTGTCAAAGATTTTCTTCCCAGTCTGAGGCTCTTCAGCCACTCACTTCCACACCCACAATGTGAGTTTTAGCCCTTCCTCCCACAGATATTTTATGCATACTCTAGTATGAATATATATTCTCTCCATCTTTTTTAGTATAAACCATAGCATAGTATATAACTTTAACCCTGCTATTAGAGAGATACTTCCTTAACTTATGTGGAGAACTTTATCTTTTCCTAGCTCTATAATCTCAGGCAAATTATCTGTCCTTTCTGTGACTCTGTTGCTTATAAAATGTGGATGAAATATTACTCAATCATAGATGTAATCATAGTGACTATTGCACGATGTCACTACATGTTAAATCCTGAGAATAGTGTTAGTGCTCATACAGTGTTAGTGATCATAATAATAATGAATTTATCATGATTCATTTAACTAGGCTTTTTGGATGGCTTGGGAAGATATTATTTTTCCTTTTTAAATTAATGGAACATGGCCTTTTATAGATTCTGAGTTTTTAGTTCATACATATAAGCATCTTCTAGGATTATAAAGAAAATTCTGCCAGTTTCTTCCACAGTGAAACATGATGGAATATGATAGAAACATACAAGTTTTCCTTGTACCTTGTGTGTAAAAAGATTCTGATTTTTTAACATTTTTCTGTATTTATGGTTTGACTGTACATATTCAGATAAGTGATGTATAGATTAAAACTTTTTCTCACATGCCTACTCAGTTATCAATTCTAGAATTGTCTACTTTGAAATGAGTAGTCTATATTTTGTCATTTTCTGAAATGCTGCCCTGATTACACACTCTTTATGTATCTCAGCTACTATAGTCTCATTTTGCTTCACTGACAGAACTCTTGTATTCTTTTTTTTTAAACTTTATTATTTGTGTGTATGTGTACCATCAAATTGGATCTGACTGGTACAAGAGGTGACTGTCCCTCCTTCTCCAGAAGAGCATCTGGTGGATTAAAACCATGCACCTCTGGGATTGCAGCGCAGCTTCTTGCCAACTAGGCCACCGGAGCTCACCCAAACACAGAACTCTTGTATTCTTATAACACACTTTAAAAATCTGCTGAAGCCAGTCTTGTCTTTTAACGTTGAGAGAAAAAATTTTAAGAAAATTTTATTGGCTAGCTTTGTTTTTCTCTGTGAGAATTTAAAATCAGTTATAAATTCCAACTCTTGCTCAGGCCATCTCCTCAAAAAAAAGAGGTTCTTATTAAGATCTCATTAATAATGTTTACCTTTAACACATTTATGATGCATGAAACAAAACTAAAAAAAATAAAAAATAAATAAAACTGGCCAGGCTTACTGGTCTGGATAAGACTGGTGGCACCTCTGAGACCATGGTCCTCAGTTACCCTTTCAACTTGGAACAAAACTCACCCCTACTCCTGTGGTTTGACTTTCAGTCAAAAAATACACAGGCCTGTAAGATTTTCAGGGAAGCACTTTTCTTCTTACAGTAATTAACCACATAATGTCAAAAGATTAGCATTTGACTAAGAATAAAGCCCAGAAGGCATGAAAGGGATATATAGAAAGATTAGTGGAAATGAGAATTAAAGGGATAAGAGCAAAAGGTGCAGTTATAATGTGGGTATTGTAATTAATGAATATAAATGGGTGAATGGAAAACTATTTTCTTTTGTAAGCTTTCAATCAAATCATAACTAAAAAAGATGACAGTTTGTTTTGCCTTTACTTTCATAACAAGAACAATACAGTTCTGGTATAATGTTTTTGTATAAGCATAAATGCTGTATTAGCATGTATTTAGTATTACTAGCTATTAAACAGTAAGAGATTATTTATAGGTCCTTAGGTGAGGTGGTAATTTTATTAAATCAACTCAACAGCAACTAAAAACAGAACTTAACTATACTGTTGTGTACTGTAGAGTCAGAACGGACTCACAGCTGACTCTCCAGTGGGTTTTCAGAGGCAGTTAATCACATAGGAGGAGAATGCCCATCCTTCTCCCAACAAGCAGCTAGTGGCCTTGAACTGTGGGCCTTTGGTATATGTGCTGCCGAAGCGAGCACAGAACTGTGGGCCTTTGGGATTGCAGTGCAGCTTCTTGCCACTAGGCCACCAAAGCTCCCTGAACTTACTGTATAAAAGGCAATTAATAACTAACCGGTGTTAATTAAAACCTAATCTCAAATTGTGATTATTAATATATTCTGTATTAGCATATTCACTAAAGCCTAAATTCAAATACCATCTTGACTATGTTAGTCATAAATTTGTAGGTGAAAAAAATTGCATAAAACATAAAGTAAGTGCAAATAAAACTGGTGAAACCTCCTGTCAGTTTGATACCATACAGTTGTAAACATCCCGTAAAAATCTATGATGCCCAAAGGCAGACAATTCACTGACACTGATTAAAATGTATGATGCCCAAAGGCAGACAAATCATTGACACTGATTAAGTTGTTTTAGTTATACAACATTTCTCACCTTACTTTTTCAAACTGCTCTTACTAACATAAATTCACTGCTTCCTACCTTATCCTATCCAAATAAAGTTGTTTAGGAAATGACAAGGTCTGATGGAGAGTATCAATGTCAACTTCCTGGTTGTGATACTGTACTACAGGCATTTAAGACATCACCAGTGGAGGAAAACAGATGAAGAGTCTATGGGATTTCTGTTATTTCTTACAACTTTGTGGTAATACTTATCATTTAAAAATGAAAGTTTTTTAAAAGTACCTGAGTAGTTCAGATGGGTCAGTGTCTGGCTGGTAAATGAAACAGTGCCAATTTAAACCTACTGTGCTACTATGAAGAACCAGGTGTGGCAATCTGCTACACAGAGGTTATAATCAACCCTACTTGGTAGTCAGGGGAAGTCTGCTCAAAAGAGTACACAAATAGGAAATAAGGAATATGGTATTTTTTAAAAGGATGACATAATAGCCTTTTTTTCATGTCAGATGGGTAGTGTGTCTATGTCATAACAAGGTTTAAAGGGTGGCACACGTCATACAGAAGTATGAAGTCCCAATCATCAAGCCTATGAACCAGAAAAGGGTCAGCCATTTTCGTTTGTTGCTGTTGTGTGCCACTGAGTCAGAACCAACCCATAGCTGACCCTCCAATGGGTTTTCAGAGGCAGTTAATCACATGGAAGGAGAATGTCCATCCTTCCCCATGGACAAGCTGGTGGATTCAAAACATGTGCCGTAGGGAGCTCTGGTGGCCTAATGGTAAGAAGCTGTGCTGCAATCCCAAAGGTATGCAGGTTTGAACCCACCAGATGTTCTGCTGGAGAAGGAGGGGTAATCTCCTCCTGTACCAGTCAGATCTGATTCAATATTACACACACAATAAAATAATAAATAAAAATTAAAAATAGAAATTATTTCTCAAAACACATGCCTTCAGGATTGCAGTGCAGATTCTTACCACTAGGCCACCAGAATTCCAAGTATACAAAAATCTCTTAAGATCTTATAATTTCTTGCTCTGAATTGCTAAATTTGGCTAGAACAACTTGCTTTTAAAGCCAGTAGCAGAATATTGGTGACTGTCAGGTACTTTCAGGTAAAAAAACCACAAACGCAAACCCTCCACAACATCTCAATACACTTCACTGCACATTATTTAAGTAGTCAATGTCAAATTTTGTTTATAGAAACTAGAATTCTGGAGTCTACTAGACATATTTTTAATTGTTCTATACAAGCCAGAACAGAAAAAGATTTTAAGTTCAAAATCAGACTTTATATCACTATTTGAAAACTGTTCTAATAAGACAATGTCTTATTAGACATTTTAAAAAATACCATATTGACATAAAAACACTAATAAACAGTAAGTAACGAAAACGGCCCCAAGTTCTGGTTTTGGTGACATCAAAAATACACATACAGAATAAAAAAGAAAGCAAAATGTTAACAGTATTTTTCTTTAAATGCTAAGACATGGATGAATTTATTACTCTGTCTATTCCAAATTGCCATAATTAATCCACATTCATTATAGTCACTAAGTTTTTTTTAAAAAAATCCAATCATCTTTTCATTATTTTTTTTAGAATATAGCACTCCTTCTGAAGAAACAGGTTAGGTGTTAATGATTCAGCACTGCTAATCTAATAAATGAAGAAAGACTTACACTAGATTATCTTCATTAAAGTCTGGCTGAAGATTCTCAAGAGGAAACAAAGACCTAAAACCAATTCCCATATTGAAAAACACAGCCGCTACATCAGATAATGATGGGATCCAGGGCCAAACTGGTGAATCACTGAAGATATCTAGTTAACAAAAAAAAATAATTCCAAATCTTGAGTCCACATATTCATAGTTACAAACTGTTAGTTTGCATGTGAAACACAAATTAATTTTCTAGAATTGATGGATGCTATGTTAGCTAATAATATACTATCAATACAGTGGGAAATAATACATTTCTGAATAACGGTGAAAGAATAGCATTTATGAAGAAAACAGTGATACATAAAAGGGTATAACTCAGGAAGAGGTGACATCTAAAACACACCAAAATAATAGTTAGACTTCCAATTAACATTAACACAGGAAGACTCTATCATCTTTAGTGCATTTTTCAGCACTAAACCTCAAAACAGGTGAAAACAGGTAAACCACAGTGGTGACAAAGTTACTATTACCTTTTCGCAGTGTATGTTTTCAATTTCAGTGCATTACCTATACTGTACTGATAAGCTAATTATTAAACTGACTGGTTAAATACATTAATAATCCAGCAACTATTCCTCCCATTTACTCAGAAAACGAATCCATGCCTTAGTATCAGTTAAGGGTTGCTACTTGTAAGATGGTAGGCTCTTTTTTCTCAATGCAATTAGAAAACAGACATATTCACTTTTGACTGGAGTTTCACATCATTATAAACTTCTGATAAAAATGTTTATGATATATTTTAAAATATAGTAAGATACCATTATTAACAGCAATGCAAAAAATTTATACACTTACCATTTCTAATTGTTATTTCCATCAATGTACTTAAAATTTGCACAGATACAACACAGTCTGTATGAACGGACATCATCTGTCAAAAGTAGATAAACGATAGGAGAGAAAAAAGAGAACATATGAATATTTATTATTTGTCAGACTTAGTATACTGTCTTTAATACTTACAAAGATTCTAGTTACTCCTTATAAATATGAGTAAATGGATTCAGAAAGATTAATTCTTCCATGGCTCACCTTTCTGCCAAAGAGACAGGCCTGTAACGTGAACACTGGCCCCAGAGAGGTAGTACCCCAGAGAGCAACCAACCATATGAAATCAAAGGACATTTGCCCAGAGATAAAGCTTAGAAGGCACGAAGAGCCAAGGGGGGAAAAAATGAATGAAAATGGGAGGCACAGGGAGGATATAGGAAGAGAGCTGTACATGGTAAAGATTACAACCAGCATCATGAATCAAAATGTGTAAAAACAATTTGCTCTACAAACATTTAACTCAAATCACAACAAATATTTTAAAAGCAAAAATCAATTCTATCCAACACGATAAAAGGCAGAGATTTAGAATTTAAATCTGATTTTGAAGTTGGGGCACTTTTCTACTCTTAATAGGCAAGTTTTTAAAAAAATAAGATTATTTATAACTAGACAAATACAGTATTTAAAACTACTGAGAAAGCCTTTCTAGGACAATGAATAGGAATGACAGAAGAACTGAGGTCTTTGAGTTGTGGTGTTGGACAAGAGTCCAAGAATTATCTCATGGACTCCCAAAAGAATATGTCTTAGAAAAAGTGCAGCCAGAGTGTTCCTTGGAGGCAAGGATGGTTAAACTTTGTCTTCCAGACTTTGGGCATATTGCTTGGAAAGGAACATCATGCTTAAAAGGTAGAAAGTCAGTTAAAGGGAGGAAGATTGTCAAGAAGATCGACTGACACAATGACTGAAGCAATGGGCTCAAGTATGTTAAAGATAATGAGGATGGCACAAGATAGGAAAGGTTCAGATCTGTTATTGCTCATAGAGTTGCTATGAGTCGTACTCAACTTGATAGCATCTAACAATAACAACAGTTCATATAATAATGAAAGCCCAAATTCACGAAAGAAAAGGCAGTTAAACTTGACTACACCACATGCAAAAAGCTAACCATAAACTAGTATAATTAAAACCGTATAAATATGCAAATTAATATGACAATAAACATTCAAAAATACATTTAACATCATTAATTAATCCCACAAATGTAAGGAAAAACAATGGCAAAATCATCAGTTGATTTCAAAACTGGTTAAGATCAAGAACACAAATTATATTCACTATTAACAAGTATAACAAGAAAGAAGTTGTCTTATGCACTACCAGTGTGAATTTAGTTTGGTAAAATCTTTTAAGTAATTTGGTAATATTTATGTAGTGATATTTATACTTTGGCAAAGTCAATGTTTTTTATCGATTGACTTTGATTTTCAGATGCAGAACCATATAATTTACATGTAATTTTTTTAAAGTAATGTTAATGAAAATTTACAGACTTTGGATTTCCATTCATCCATTCCTGCACTTTCCTCCCTGCCCACCCCTCCCCTCCCCAGTACACTCTCCTCTTTGAAAAGTAAAAGAAAAATTCTTTCATTGTTTTATAATCCCTCACCCCAGGTCCACTCACTCCATTATGCAGCCTTCATTCTGGACTCCTGTCATGACAGTAATACCTAATCACATACCCTTTTAAACAGTTTTCTCCCTCATCTGTTTCAATGCAGTATACATTATTTATCACTTCTTTCTCGGTCTCCCCCCAACCCTGATGTCAGTCCTGTTTTACAGCAGTGGCACCATGCAGTATTTGTCCTCTTGTGACTCAGATACTTCACTCAATAATGTCCTCCAGGGTCACCCATTTTGAATAATATTGCATGAGTTCTTTGTTTTTCAATACAGCGTAATAATCCATTGTGTGAATATATCACAGATTCTCTATCCATTCGTTTGTTGATGGGCACTTAGGTTGTTTCCGACTCCTTGCTATTGTGAACAAAGCCGCGATAAACATGGGTGTGCACATATCTGCTTGGATGTCAGTTATGGTCTCTTTGGGGTATATTCTCAGGAGTGGAATTGCTGGGTCAAATGGTATTTCTATTTGCAACTTTTTTCCCTTTTTTAAAAATTTTTTATTTTTTTTACAGAGGTTTTGGATTTCCATTCATTCATTGCCGCAATTTTCTCCCTGCCCACCCCTCCCCACCAGCTCGTTTCCCCCTCCGAAGAGAGAAAAAAAAAAGAAAAAAAAATTCCTTCATTAGTATACAATTTCCACGTCCCTTCCCCCCACCCCCCACCCTAAGTACACTTCTCTATGCAACCTTAATTCTGGATTCCTGTGCTAACCATAATACTCAATCATATATCACTTCTAATCTGTTCTTTCCCTCATCTGTTTCAATACAATATACATAATTTATCCAGTTTTTTCTGTCATACCCCCACCCTGATGTCAGACCCATTCTACAACAGTGGCACCATGCAGTATTTGTCCCTTTGTGACTGAGATATTTCACTGAGCATAATGTCCTCCAGGGTCACCCACTTGAATAGTATTGCATGAGTTCCTTGTTTTTCAATGCTGCATAGTATTCCATTGTGTGGATATACCACAGCTTCTCTATACATTTGTTTGTTGATGGGCCCTTAGGCTGCTTCCAACTCTTTGCTATTGTAAACAAAGCTGCAATAAACATGGGTGTGCATATATCTGTCTGGATGGCAGACATGGTCTCTCTGGGGTATATTCCCAGTAATGGGATTGCTGGGTCAAATGGTATCTCTATTTGTAATTTTTTGAGAAAGCACCACACCGCCTTCCACAATGGTTGCACCATCTTACATTCCCACCAACAGTGAATAAGAGTTCCAATTTCTCCACATCCTCGCCAGCATTTGTTGCATGCTGTTCAGTTATATTTTGCTATTCTTACTGGGGTGAGATGATATCTCATAGTTGTTTTGATATTTGCAACTTTTTGAGAAAGCACCACACAGTCTTCCACAGTGGCTGTACCATTTTACACTTCCACCAACAGTGAATAAGGGTTTCAGTTTCTCCACAGCCTCGCCAGCATTTGTTGCTTGCTGTTCTGTTAAATTTTGCTATTTTTACTAGGGTGCGATGGTATCTCATAGTTTTTATTTGCATCTCTCTTAGAGCTAGGGATTTTGAACATTTCTTCATATGCTTGCTGGCTATCTGAATGTCTTCTATGGTGAAGTGTCTGTTCATATCCTGTGCCCATTTTTCAACTGGATTGTTTACCTTTATCTTGTAAATTTTACAAATAAATTTTTGGTTATAAAATTTCAAGTTAAAAATTAAAAACACCCTCTTACAGAATAAATAAATAAATTTTAAAGTATATTTATAAAGGAAAACATATTGTACTTGCTATGTCTATCTTTCTCTTCCTTTCAAGCCATGAATTAGAATAAAGCTAAAAGATGGAGGAGAATAAACCAAATTCTATTTCCACTTAAACATATGACCTGTCATTTTCATCACAAAATCAGTCTATGTTTTGTGTCGGGGTTGGTAAGCTTTGCCAAGGGAGAGCAACATTCAGAGGCACACCAAATGAATATAGGACAGATTCTAATTAACATTCATTTTGGAGGGTGATGAATTTTATGGGTGGAAAATACAGTAATTGGCGCGGTGAGAGATCTAATATACTGTCGAAAATATAACAGCCAGAAATACTAAAGAGTTAGAAAGAGTTCAGCTTTCTTTCTTTCTTTTGTGGGTACCATCAAATCTTGGAAGGAGGAGTGGCATCCACTTCCGTAATAGCTTGCCTCCAGAAACCCTATGAACCTGGAGAGAAGATGAGAGACACCCAAACGTTGAGGACTCTCCTTCATAGGGTCGCTATGAGTCACATGTGACTCGATGGCACTTAACAACAACATAACACCATCAAATCGGATCTGACTGGTACAGGAGGAGATTGTCCCTCCTTCTGGAGCAGAGCATCTGGTGGATTCAAACTCCTCTGGGATTGCAGTTCAGCTTTCTTTCTTTTTTTTCTAAATCTCTATTTTGTGCAATAATGAAATAATCTTTTTAAAGAAAAAGCAAACTGGAGGTGGGGTAGGAAAGAAAATGTGCAATGATGAATGATATCCAAGTTTTCTATAAACTTTCATTAAAGTATCAATAAACTTAAATTGGATTCAGAAGAAGCAATGAAAATGGAATCTCATTGGGATGATGATGTAAGATGAATCTTGGCTGAGTGTAGAAAACCGAAATTAGCTTGTGTTTTATTGATAATAAAAAGTTGTCTGACAGTATGAACCATAAAAAAAAATAAACCCCTATTTTACTTGAATTTTTCCACAATAAATTCTCTTTAAAATTGCTTTTTAAAAAGCAAATTGCCTTCCTGGTTTATACTTCAACTCAACACCACTCACCTGTAACGGACTTCTACTTGACCCTCCAGTGGTGGTTAAGAGGCTGTACATCACACAGGAGACTGCCCATCTTTTTCATGTGGAGCAGCTGGTGGATTTGAACCTCCTGCCTTTGGGTTGGCAGTGCAACACCTGACCCACTAGTCCACCAGAATTCAGGATTTACACTCAGATATTAAAAAATAAAAGCCATAAAGATGTCTATATTTTATTTTAATGGCATTAATTTTATTTGCTGTTGTCAGGTGCTATCAAGTTGATCCTGACCATAACAACCCCACAATAAATTACACACTGAGTACTTTGCCACCCTATCACTGCTGTACCTGAGCACACAGCTGCAACCACTTTTTCAATCCATCCTGTTGATGGTTTTTTTTTAAAAAAATTTATTATTTTGTGTGTATGTACCGTCAAATTGGATCTGACTGGTACCGGAGGAGACTGCCCCTCCTTCCCCAGCAGAGCATCTGGTGGATTTGAACGGCTCACCTCTGGGATTGCAGTGCAGTTTCTTGCTACTAGACCACCAGCACTTCCTTGATGGTCTTTTTCTAACATGAAATTCTTTAGGACTGGTCCCTCATGATAACAAGTATCACCATCCTCTCTTTCAAAGGGCATTGTGATTCTACTTCCCAAACAGTTTTTTTTTGTTTTGTTCTTCTGGCAGTCCATAATATATTGCAAGATCCTCACCAATACCATTAATTCAAGGGCATCAATTCTTTTTTGGCCTTCTGAGTCATTGTTCAGCTTTCATATGCACATGAGGTTGTTGAACATATCTTATGAAATTTTTTTCTTGTCTTATAGAAACTATGACTTATTTTCCTACTTCTCACTTAATAAGAATTCTCTGGTCCAGAGCTAAGTTTCCACTTAAATAAAACAAGTATCAACGGAATTATTTAAAGTATAGAATTTAAGATACAAATAGTGAAGAAAAATGGTTTCATCCAAATCCTGAATATGCACATAAATACTTCTATAAAAATGGCATCCCCCACCCCCTTAGTATGTAAGCTTTAGACAAGCTCTTCTAAGACAGGAATAGTGATTTCCAGTATGTGATGAAATGTCTCAAGCACAGTATTACTGACTAGTCTTCATATCTTTGAGCTTTGGTAGGCTAGTGGGGGGAAAAAAAGCGGCTGCATTTCCAACCTAACTAAGTCAAGCAGTTTGAATCCAATAGATGCTCTATGGGAGAACAGATGGACAACCTCCTCTTGCACGATTTAGTCACTGAAAAAGTGCTGGAAGGTCAGATGAGAATTGGTTCTGACTTGAAGGCATACAACAGCATTCTTCATATTAGCTATAATAGCATTTCCTTTACAAGCTTCTAACTCTTTTTGCTTTACTCTAACCTATTAAAATAATGGGCTTGATGTATTAAGATTTATTTTTTCCTCTATTAATGTGTAGATAAAATTACATGTCAAAAAATTTGAGTAGGAAATAAGAGTAGTTAAATAATTTTTTCTTACCCGAAATAGCCACTTTAACACAGGTACAGGACACTGGACATTGTGATAAGCAGAAGTAAGGAAACCTTGTGTTGTCAGAAAAATCTGATCTGTTTTTCCTGATCTGAAAAATAAAGTGAAATTAGTATGGCTAGTATCTTTATCGCAAAGTATCTCTGTCACGTCTACCACAACCACATCTGCCATTAATTAGGGAAATGAATGAATATATAAATCATCCTCAGTCCAGAGAGATGTTCTCTCATAGTTTGACTAGAAATACATAATAAGAATTTAACTTACAGCCCAAAGCTGATTCAGCCTGTTGGCATGACTTCTGTCTCATTTGGTAGATCAATCTACATTTGCTGGCATTCTTGAGAGGGAGACTGTCAAGTCTCAAGCCTTCTTCTATTTTTATCAATTTGGGAGTTGTTATTAGTTGCCAACAAGTCACTTAAGATTCATAGCAAGCTTATGAATAGTTCAGAACCTTGTCACATCCTGTACCATCCTCATCACCTTGATATGCTGGAGTTCAATGCTTGTTACAGTTACCATGTCAATCCATGTGTTGGAGTGTCTTCCTCTCTTTCTCTGAGCCTCCAACTTTCCCAGAATGATGTTCTTTACCAATGTCTGGCCTTTCCTGATAGTATGCCCAAAGTACATGAGATCAAGTTTCACCATCCTTGCCTTTAAGGAGCATCCTGGTTGTAACTTCTCTAAGACAGACTTGTTCAGTTTTTTGGCAGCCCAGGAGACATTCAGTGCCCTTCTCCAAAACATCTCAGAGGATCAATTCTTCTTCTGCCATCCTTAGCCACTGTTCAACTTTTAGGTACAAAGGAACTATCAGAAAACATCACAGCTAAGATCGGGCACACCTTAGTCTTTAAACTGGCATCCTGACTCTCCAGCACTTTAGAAGTAAACGTCATTAAAACCGAGTACCAGAATCAGTGACATTTCCCTGCATCTAAAATACTGTGTACTGATTGATTACACCAGAGTAGGCATTGTAGTTGAGACTGCCTTCCCTTCTTGTTAAGAAAACTCTGGGCACACTGGCTATCCAGAGTAAAATTCACTACTCAGCCTCCTCTATGGCCATACTGATTAAGTTTGAAATAATTAACTATAAATGAAAATGTTGTGTGAGATTTTTAGTAACTTGAATATAAAAGCACTTTTGTAATAGTACCTGTGATGGGGGTAGTGGTATATAAAGATAATATGGTAAAATCAACATATTAGCTGTGTTTCCTATCTCAGAATTTCTTTCTCATAGTATGTATTTTAAGCTTTTTATTTTTACAGTCAATGTTACTATATACTGATCTTAATCTCAACTAATAAAAGCATGTGATATGCTAAATAATTATCCTACATTGCTGCTGCTTATCATGAAAGAAAGCACAAATCACGGGAAAATCACAATCATAGGAAAAGCAATAGGAAGCCAGATATGTTTATAGTCATAAATTACAGCCTTTTAGAAATTAAACCAGTTATGTAGCTTTTTCATCTTCTATACAGAAAAAAGGTAAAATGTCTGTTTTTCTACTTACTTAAGAATAAGCTTTTCTACAGCACTTTGCCCAACAAAACCAGAATTTCTTAAATCCAGAGTATGTTGATTAAAAATTTTTCCAGAATCAAGGAAATGAATTATCTCTTCACCTGGATGATGATCAGGAATAGCATCAACTGTAACTGAAAATTTCTTTAAAAATTCCCTGAAACATAAAAGAAGGTGGTGCTGAATACTGAAGTTGTATTGCAAATGACTTTGTACTTAAAAGGTGTATGCAAGGAAAGCTCTTCATAAAACAAAATAATTATTTTATTGTTGGTTTATTTTTTTGTGAAAATTACATAGCGAGTCTTTTGACTCTCTTCCTCCAAACTCATCAATGACATGAGTTAACACTTTTCACACTATGTCAACATTCTGGTTAAATGCGTTCTGCTTATTCCATTTCCAGCTTTCTATTCCTTTCCCTTCTCACCTGTGTTTTGGATTAAATATTGAATTTTTGAACTCATATAGATAGATGTTTAGTAGAACACTGATCCAACAATATTTATTATGATATCGGGATAGTTTTGATTCAAAGTTTAAAGAGCATCTCAGGGTAATAGTTTGAGGGAGTTCGCTGTTCTCATGTGGCACATTAAATATGGCCATTTTTAAGAATTGAAAAGAAAAATTTTCAAGATTACTGTTAATCTTAGAAAGATTAGCATAAAAAAGTATTCTAGTATTCTGCTTCCCTAACTCTTTGCTAGTAGTTAGTCCAAAGCCCCTGTGCACCTGTGTGAGCAAGAACAAAAGAATTAAAGACATAACTTAGCCCTTACATTTCTGCCTTCCCAATCCATCAAGATAGTTAAGAATTCACCATATTCATTAGGTAAATAACCATCAACATCCATTTACATTACAAAACAGTATTAAAAATGTACACACTAATTTTCCCACACACTTAACCTGGGTGATGGGAAGGCAACATACAACGGAGAAGTTCATTATTATATCACTAGGGATAGAGAGAAGCACATAGATACAGACATTAAAGATAAAAATTATTACTTGTACAATCTTGCATCAATAACAAGCATAAATCTTTAAGTACACACACAGGTAGATAAGCAAAAAAAGCCATGGGCAGGTAAAATGGACTACAGCCATGATCATACATTTATGTCAGATGATGGTTCTCTATGTCTATTTTTGTGTGCTGTAAAAATATCCACATGTATAGGAAAGTCAATAGCCAGCAAAGTTATGTAAACTTTTTATTCATAATCAAACACTCTGAATGTCAAGTCCTAAGGTCTTAGGACCATAGTGTAAAGGAGACATAAAAGTTAATTATCAACATAGTTAAGAAAACTTGTGTTCTATATTCTACTTTAGTGACTATCAACTAAGGTCTAAAGGATTATGAGCTGCTATGTAAGATCCTTCTCTTGGTCTGTCCCTGTCTGGAACAAAGAAGAATGAAGAAAGCAAAGATACAGAAACAATTAGTCCAAAGGACTAACAAACCACATGAACTTCAACCTCCACTACCTTGAGACCAGAAGAATTGGTGTCTAGCTACCACTACTGACTTATTTCAGAAGAATCCTGAAGAGAGTGGGAGAAAAAGAACAAACAAACTGCCCCTCCTCCCTGCGTAAAACAACTTAAATCTTAGTAGGTTACTACAGGTAGTATTAAGTATTACATTATGAAAAATGCTCTACCTGTGCTCTTCTAAGAGGTCATCCTCATCATCTGTACTGTCTTGATCCCCAATTCTGAGTGGAGATCTAATGCCTCGGCCTTCCCTTATATCTTCCTGTAGTTGCTTTTGTAGTTCATCTAGCCTAAAATGGAAAAAAATGCCAGAAAAAAATTTATTTTAAAAGTTTACATCTAAACGAAGCATAAAGAAAAAAACCTTCTCATTATATGACAAGTTTTATTTAACAATAAGTCAAATCACATCTTTCAGAAATCATTTCCCAATATACAATGTAGTGTATCTTCCCCATTAAAACACAGAAAATCTATTTTAGGTGTTGAACTTTTACCCAGCTACCCATGTGGTATTAGAATAATATTCTACACATATGAAACATGACTATCTTTAGCTTAAATTTCCAGAATAATCATCTGTCTGCAATATTTAGAGGGAGGGGAAAAGAGTTATCATCATTATCACAACACTTAACTACTACTCAATTTGGTGATTGACAAGGCCTGACAAGGACTTTAATTACATTACTCTCTCAACCTTGTAACAGACACATGAGGTAGTTTATTATTATCCAATTTCATAGATGGGGAAACATCAGAAAAAGCTTAAGACTTGCTCAAACTCATTTGGAGCTAAGATTCAAAGCCAGACAGTCTATCTCCCAAGTCCTTATTCAAACCACTTCTCCAGGATCATTTTAATCAAGCTTCTTATTCTCTGCCCTAGTTCCATACTTCTCCAAACCAGGTCACCTATCTAGAACAAAATAATCAAGCCTGCTGCCACTTAAGTCAATTCTGACTCATAGTGACACTTTACTGGGTTTCCGAGGTTGTAAATATTTACTGAAAGAGACTGCTCAGTGTTCAGCCAATGAGGAAAGGGCATTGCCTTTCTTTTTACCATTAATCACTTCTCAATAAATGTGAGATCCCACACACCAAAAAAAAAAAAAAAAAAAAAAAGACGGCTCAGATCTTTCTCCCACAGAACATCTAGTAGATTCAACTGATGACCTTTTAGTTAACAACATGATGCATAACATACCACACCATCAGGGCTCCTTACCCAGGTACAGAATGTTAAATAATCAGTAAATGTACTACTGTATCAGTACAGGAAAGATCATTCAACAAATCAGACTAGCACTGCAGTCTTTGGTCTGCATGGTATTCAATTTTAGATTTATGCAATTTCAGGTTTCACATCACTAATCAATGAACTAATAAAATAATAAAACAATCTTATAATGGAGGGAGACAACTCTGATCTATTAAATCTCTGCAAAATTCCTGAAGTTAAGGTCCTTATTTATCAATGTGGGATACATACACCAACTTCCATGCAATCGACTCAATGAGCTTTTGGTAAAATTCTAGTATCAATAAGGCCCTTCTCATAAGCAAAAGCAGTGTGTAACAATTTCAAGAAGGGTCTGCATTGACCCTCGAATTTTCTGATTTCTTTGTGTGGTGGTGGTGGTGACTGTCATTAAGTTGGGACCGATCCATAGCTGACCTTCCAGTGGGTTTTCAGAGGCAGTTAACTGCACGGGAGGAAACTACCTAGCCGTCTCCTGTGGAGCAGCTGGAAGATTCAAACTGCATGCCTTTTGGATTGCAGTACAGTTTCTTACCACGCGGCCACCAAAGTGTGTAGTGGGTAGAAAATAATAGTTAAAACTTTATACTTTTTTTCTTTAAAAGAATTACAAAATAATGTCGGTTATGCTGGTTGTAAAACTTGGTGTTAGCAGGGACACAAATGTTTAGAAAAATTATTTGAATCAAGATTTTCTGGTATCAGTTGGACATTGCTTGTGTTAAATGGAAAATCATCTTTAGTATCAGTTGTTAGGGGCTGTCAAGTATAGCTCAGTGACCCTACAAACAATGGATCTGAACTCTGTCTATAGCATCAGTTATATACTATAAAAACCTGTATCTTGTGTTCTAGAGTACAAATAAAACAGGGAACACAGTATAACTAACAATAGTGATAGCATAAAGACTATAATGGTACGAGTAAAATACGCACACAATTTTTCCTAACTTCCTATTCTAAGTGAAAAGAAAGCCACAGTGAAGAAAGTAAAACAGATGTGTACCCATAGGTCAACTCTGAAAACCTGTGATGGTTAACTAATGTTAAGTCTCATATAAACCACACCTCAAACATATAATATGCCAAAATTAACAAACCAAGCATGATGCTAACTAACCTTTGAGTGTCTTCCATCTCCTTTACTAGACGCTCTAAAGTATTTGTGTAAGTTCCACTAGGAACATGTGCCTAAAATAAGAAAATTTAGAAACACTTTACAATATAACTCAATAGAAGATTTGGGATGTTTTAAGTTATTCAGAGTACTAAAAATTCTATTTTCTTTCAATAACCTGACCTAGGATACTACCTTTCTTATTGGAAACTTTTCACCATCATGCTTTAATTAAATCTACTATTTTGTACTGCAGGCAATTTAACCATCTATAGGAAAGGGACTACTTATAACATCCTGGTAGTCTTAGTTACAAAGAACTGACTACAAACACCCAAGTGTTCAGTGGCTACCCTGCATTTACTTTCCAATTCTGTTTTAGCAGAATAACACTAATTTTTAGGTGTTACCAGGTAATACTAACACCTTCCCCACCAAATTTTACAGGCATTTCAGAATTCCGCTAACTCCCAAGATAGAATGAAGCACTTTATAAATAAAATTGCACACCACAATTAACAACATTTCTACACTCTACCTTTATTTACAGCAATGGTCTCCAAAGCAGGGGGTGTGCAAGGTGATCCATTGGGGTGCAGGAAGAAAATAATAGAACTTCTATTTATATGGAACTTCTATAGAAACTCCAGAAGAACTTAGTCTATAGTAACTTCTAAATAACTTCTATAGGAAAACACTTATTCTTCTTCCTTTTAAGTTGTTTTGCATGTTTTAGAAAGTATACAGTAGTATAGTGGTACATGTATAGAACCTAGAAATATACATATATTGGAATACATGCTTTATTGTTTTGTAAGCTAATAAAAGTTTATGTGATCAAAAAAGTTTGGAGACCACTGATTTACGTTAATAAAACTAAAGATATCAGAAACGCATTAGTCAAACATGTACCAGGTTTAGTTCCAGTATGAGATGTATCAAATACTAAATGTTAAAATAAATTTAATAATCTATTCTTTCATTGATCAAAACCCATGTTTCCCAGAGTAAGGATAAATATCACAGAACCACTTACTGTATAATCTGATGACTGAGATCTAAGTCCTTTGGGAGGAGCAGAAGACTTTCCTGTAGATGCAGGGGTATGACTGAAGTTCAAAGCCATTATTTCTTCCAGTGATTTTAATGTTTCCTCTTCTTCATCAGTGTCTAGGTTGTAATCTAAACTTTCTTCATCACTATCAAAATCAACCCTTAGTTTTCTTTTCAGTGCACTGCTACCTGCATTGGCATTTCCTGAACTCTCTGTATCTGCAGGGGCTTTATCATATGGAGTAGAGCTTGGGATACATGGCACAACTTCCAAAGCAGCTGGAGGAGACTTGGCAGGAGTGCCATATTCTGAATGCAAAGATTCCCCAAAAACTTTCCCTGAAGATACATTAGAATCATCCTTATAAGTCTTTGCTTTGTGTTCCTTGTGTTTGGAGGACTCTGTAGAATGCCCAGAACATTCTCTATTTGAGGAACGTTCTTTATCTTTCTTAGAGACCAGAAGAGTGCAATTGTCAGCATTTACTGGTACCCGAGAGGAACCAGCATTTGGAAAATGGGAAAGTGAAGGTAGATGATTAATCTCCTTTGAGGTTACAGAACTAGTAGTTTTGTGTTTCTGAAGGTTGCTTGGTTTCTTAACTGCAGATTTTTCCTGAGGTAAAGATATGTGGGGTTTCTGCATTTTAGTCTCTTTGGTACTTGTCACTCGGATCTGGTCACTATTCCTGCAAGAATGGTGGCTGGAGTTTGAAGGTGCCAAGTCTGAAGAGGAGCGATCAGCTTCATCATTTAGTTCCTTGGAGGATATATCTTCCAAACGTAACACATCACCAGGTGTCTTCAATGCAATGTGTTTTATAAACTGCTCTTTCCGACGCGGTCCATCAGAATGTTTCTCAGGGAAAGACTCTTTTGATCTTGGTATGATAGATTCTCTTGTGCTTTTCAAATCTGAATTCAAAGAGTTCCTTTTTCTTTTGTCAGGGACCTTATTCTTAGAGCCTGCTAAAATTTAATTTTTGCCAGATTAGTGAAAAATATACTTTCTTATCTTAGTAAAGGTTATTCAATGAGTGAGTAGAACACTCTGAAGACATGTTTAAATTCTAAAACCTTAGGCTGCGACGATTCACCATGTATAGCACGAGGAAAAAAGTTTTACTATTATTTATTAACTGACATTGTCAAAGAAATATTTAAAAAATGCATCGTTGTACTAGAAAAGAATTCCAAAGGCATTTTACTAAAGGTAGACATACTCTTCTTTAATCAACAACTACCTAGTTCCAGAACATTGAACTGTTCTACATTTACAGATACAGTTCCTTAAACACATGTAGAAGAATTAGGTGAAGGCAGACAAACTTTAATTTCTCAAAAAAAGAAAATAAAAATTCATCACATCTTTCCCCCTAGTATCTCATTACTATTTATTCTTTCCCACGAGCAATCTAGTCTTCAGTTGTCTACGTATATTGGGAGTTCCATTCTAAAGCACTTAAATAACCACATATATTTTCATTTATCAGTCTAAAACTTTCTCTTATTGTGCTGAAAAAAATACTGCATTAATTCACCCTTAACACGTTGCCGCACACTTTTAAATTGACGACCATGCTTAGAAACATTTTTTCGATGTATTACCGTCACTTGCGGCAATGTGTTAATATTTACTTACTATAAGTAACTATTTGAATAATCAGTATTCTAAAAATCAAGTGTCCCTAAATCAAGTTTCTGTCTTAATATATCCCTACTCCCCAAGAGTTCAATTAAAAAAAATGAAATCAAATGTCAAAAAAAGTAATTATTTGGATAGCTTGAATAACTCATCATCCTGAAAATTCCATTTATAATAATTGAGAATTAACCAATCAATCTATATAAACACATTATCTTTATCTCCATTTTTTTTTTAAATCTCCATTCTTTTTTTTTTAATGTTTGTACTGTCAAATCTGATCTGACTGTTACAGGAGGCGATTGTTCCTCCTTCTTCAGCAGAGCATCTGGTGGATTTGAACCACACACTTCTGGGACTGCAGTGCAGCTTCTTGCCACTAGGCCACCAGAGCGCACCTAATCTCCATTCTTTTTTTTTTAATTATTATTTTTGTGTGAGTGTACCGTCAAATCAGATCTGACTGGTACAGGAGGAGATTGTCCCTCCTTCCCAGGCAGAGCATCTGGTAGATCCGAACCGTGAGCCTCTGGAATTGTAGATGCAGCTCCCTACCACTAGGCCACCAGAGCTCCCCTGATCTCCATTCTTATAGCTAGAACATTACCTAAAAAAAAAAAATCAGTCTGGGCTGACCCAATTTTTAGTGGTTAAACTGGGGTCACTTACGGTGCAGGAAGAGAAAGAAGACAAATGACTAAGAAAAAGACAAGGTAAACTTAATTTTAAGTTTGGGATACAGCTATCTAAAGAGCTGCCTATAAGTTTTATTTTACTTCCCTACAGAAATCAGACAATTTACATGTAGGTAGTAATGAGGAGAGATCCTACTGGCTCAAGAACTGGGTGTAAACCAGTTGAATAGCCAGTAGTGTACTGCTCTGCTAACTTAAAGGCCAATCATCTCCAGCAGCTCAAATCCATCCGCAGCTTTGAGGGAGAAAGATGGGCAGTCTACTCCCATCATTATTTACAGCCCTGGAAACTTGGTGGAGGGTATGTGTTAGATTCGATAGCACCGAGTTTTAAGCGTGGAAATGTATAGCATTATTAGCTTATTAAAAGCTTCTACATCTGAAATTAAAAGATGAACCAGTACCAAAGGCAGGCTTCCCCTCTGGAAACTCCATATGGCAATGAATTAACTTAGAAAAAATTTTATGACTTACACCTGGGAAAAGTTCATGCTGCTCTGAAGGAAATAGCAAAAAATAAGGCCCCAGGAATAGATGGTTTACCAACTGACATATTTCAGCTAATGGATGCTGCCCTGGACGTGCTCACCAAGTTTTGTCAAGAAATCTGGAGAACCGCCACTAGGCCAACTGACTGGAAGAGATCTATATTTGTTCCGATCCCAAAGAAGGGTGACCCAAAAGAGTGTGGAAACTACAGAACAGTATCATTGATTTCACATGCAAGCAAGATTCTACTGAAAATTATCCAAAAACGACTGGAACAGCACATTAGCAGAGAACTGCCAGAAGTCCAGGCTGGGTTTAGAAGTGGTCATGGTACTAGGGATATTGTAGCTGATGTTAGATGGATCTAAGCTGAAAGCAGGGAATACCAGAGGAATGTATATCTGTTTCATTGACTATGCAAAGGCATTTGACTGTGTGGACCATAAGAAACTGTGGCTGACTCTGAGAAGAATGGGAATCCCAGAACACTTGATTGTGCTAATGTGAAACCTATACTTGCACCAAGAGGCAGTCATCAGAACAGAGCAAGGAAATACTGCATGGTTCAAAATTGGGAAGGGCGTACGCCAGGGATGCATCCTATCTCCATACCTTTTCAACCTGCATGCAGAACGGATTATCTGGGAAGCTGGGCTCTATAAGAAGTGTGGCATCAGGACTGATGGAAGATCTATCAACAATTTGCGTTATGCAGATGACACAACCCAGCTTGCTGAAACTGAGGAGGACATGAAGCACTTGCTGCAGAGGGTCAAGGACTTCAGTTTTCAATATGGATTGAGGCTCAATGTCAAGAAGACAAAGAGTCTCACCATTGGACCAACTGGCAGCATCAGGATGGATGGTGCAGAGATTGAGATTGTTCACAGCTTTAGTTTGCTTGGCTTGACGGTCAATACTCTTGGCACCAGTAGCCAGGAAATTAAAAAAGACGTATTGCGATGGGAAAGTCTGCTGTTAGGGACCTTTCCAGAGTTCTCTCTGGAGACTAAGGTGTGTCTGATACAGGCCATGGTCTTTGCAATCACTTGTTAAGCATCAGAGAGTTGGGCAATAACTAGAGAGGATAGAAGGAGAATTGATGCCTTTGAGCTGTGGTGCTGGACAAGTGTTGAGGGTACCATGGACTGCTAGGAAAACAAACAGATTCATCCTGGAGAG